TGTTAGAGGAAAGCCAATCTAAGATCAAAGAAATTAATCTCTTTCAAGTTGAGGTGTGGAGGTAGAGGAGGCAATTGGATAAATGAATCCAGAAGTAAAAAGAAAAATCTGGTAGTAGATGTAATTTTGGATTTTATAGTAGTGTTTTGGTAGCACTTGTTGATGTCACCAAAATAATTCATCGGTGAGCTCCCTCAGAGCTCCCCATTTCTTTATAAAGAAACCAGGTCTTGTTATGTTTGGGCGTGACTAGAACATTTGGGCTCATGTTATCCTCCTGCCTCAGTGTCCTAAGTGGCTGGGGCTACAGGCATGTGTTACCATGCCCAGCTTTGGACCCCTCTGAGCCATCAGGTTGCAAAATATTTAAATTTACATACAAAGGTGCAAGGGAGATCTCTATATAAATAGCACCATGTGAATTGCTAGAATCTTTCTTTTTAGAATTCTGTTAGGATGTGGCTTCAGAGCAGGGAATAGTAAATTAATTTTTGCTTTATTTTTGTTTTTGTTTTTGAAGCAGATTCTCACTCTGTTGCCCAGGCTGGAGTCCAGCGGCATGATCTTGGTCACTGTAGCCTCTTTCTGCTGGGTGCAAGTGATTCTCTTGCCTCAGCCTCCCGAGTAGCTGGGATTACAGGTACCTGTCACCACATTTGGCTAATTTCTTGTGTGTGTATTTTTGGTAGAGACAGGGTTTCACCATGTTGGCCAGGTTGGTCTCTTAACTTCTGACCCAAGTGATCCACCTGCCTCGGCCTCCCAAAGTGCTGGAATTATAGGAGTGAGCCACTGCTCCCGACCATTTTTTTTTTAAACATTTTTAAATTATAGCTTTTATACCTATTCAAAAGTAGAGAAAATAGTACGATAAACTCTAAAATACCCGTTTCTCAATTTCTGTGACCATTAAGATTGTCCACATTTTGTTCTGCTATTCTTTTACCTCCCTTTGCAGGAATATTATAAGCAAATCGCAGTCATCGCATCATTTTATCTGTTCAGTGTGCATCCCCGCACAGCCACTCCCCTCATCGTGTCTGACAAATTTAGCAGTGATTTTTTGGTGTCAGCTCATATGTAGCCCTTAGTCGAGTTCCTTACTCTTATGTGAACAGTATCACATTCCTCATTATCTGAAAACATGTTGTTTTAAATCTGGCTTTAAACAGTCTTCATGTGTTAACGTTGGTTGTTCTGCCTCTTTTCATTCAATCAGCCTCTGCTTACTATTTTTCATTCCCGTTCCATGAATTCTTTGTGGAGAGTTAATTCTTATTGAATAGCATGCTCACGTGGTTGAAGGGGTAAAGAACATTGATCTCATGGCTGCAGTGCAGATGAAAGTGTAGCCTGAAATGCGCTACCGTAAGGCAGCCAATGGAGGAGGGTTATTGCAGTCACGAGCAGATAGTAGCGAAAAGCTGCTTCCAAATAGTGTTTATGGCTGGGCACATTGGCTCATGCCTGTAATCCCAGCACTTTGGGAGGCCAAGGTGGGTGGATCAGCTGAAGTCAGGGGTTGGAGACCAGCCTGGCCAACATAGTTACGCCCTGTCTCTACTAAAAATGTACAAAAATTAGACAGGCATGCTGGCAGGCACCTGTAATCTCAGCTACTTGGGAGACTGAGGCAGGAGAATTGCTTGAACCCCAAAGGCAGAGATTGCAAGGAATCGAGATCATGCCACTGCACACCAGCTTCAGTTCTGTTGTTTATTGTCTACAATGATTTTCTTTCTTAGTCTTCTGTTTAAGGATATTGAAAAACAAAGTTTAATCTTTGAAGATTGTTTTTAAGACCAAACATTTGAAGGACATGCCAATGATCTGTGTGTGGAAGAAGTACTGGAAGACATTCCTTTCAGAAGTCCCTCATGATAGGGAATCCCAAGGCTGGAAAACATCATTCAAGTGGGCAATCAAATTAAATTTGTTATGAAAACGTAAGATGATAACCTGCAGACACAGATTCGGTGTCTTCCCTAAGAAGACATTAATTTGATTAATTTGGGCCTTTTGTCTCCCTCTCGTGACTTCTTTGTACTTACAATTCACGTTTAGTTTCACTAAGATTTAGTTCACTTAGTTTCACTTTGTACTTACAATTTCACGTTTAGTTTCACTAAGATTTAATTAGTGTAAGTATCAGATGAATAAAACATGCCCTTCCACACAGAATACAGTGTAAGAGTTGGGCTAGGGTATCATCAGCTTTTAGAGAGTGATTGCAGCTAATTGACTCCTTGTTCATTCTTGCATTTATTCAGTATAGAAGCAGCAACAGAGGTTTTAAGTTAACATGCTTGTGGATAATTAACATGGTTAAAAGAGTGGTTTTAAGAATGATAAAAACTTTTTGTTCTGAGGTCCAGAATAAATACCATTAAAAAGTAATTCTTTTTCAACCTCCCCCTTAGAGGAGCAGCTAGCATGAAGTTTACATGAGTAAACGGAGTCGAGAAAAAGGAATGTGGGGTAAACAGACTTAACCAGGGAAGCTTTAATTATCTTAATCTTCACCTTATGACTTAAAGCTCGAATGTAAGAACTGGCTGTCTTCAGCCTGGCTCATTAAAACTTTTCGGCTTCCCAAAGGTTTGAGACTATGCTCTATACTTCCCTAATATTTCCCTTAATATTTTTCCAGCCACCCTGAGTGAATCCCAGCACTGCCCTACATAAAATATATCCTTCATTATATTTCCTATTTGATGTCTGACTCCCCCTCCTCCTTCGCTAAAAGGTAAGTTGACTCCCCCTCCTCCTTCACTAACATGTAAGTAAGGGATGGGATTTCGTCTGTTTTGTTCTGTTGTAACCCTAAATACCTAGAAGGTGCTCAGTAAATATTTGTTGTTTGAATGAATAAATCAGCCTATTGTTGAATCAGTCAGTCCTGTGTGGAAGGGACTTCTCATGCCAGTGGTGCATATCTGTATGATAGCTGGCATAGGGAGGGATGTGGTCAGAATGGCTCTGTCCATGTGGACTAGTTTTGCTTATCATAATCCCAGCAGGCTCCTATCGGGGTTAAGCCACAGTTTCAACCTTATTAATTAGTATCATTCTTTAATCATAAAGCCAGAGGATGTTAAGATTGGAATTGATCTGGGAGACTATTCAGTCTGTTTTTCTGTTGATTGACGTGAGAATAACAGAGCCTAGCGAAAGTAAGCTGATTACTCACAATCGTAAAGCTTTAGAGGTCAACCTGAAATTGGGCTTCTGATGTGAGATTCTGTAGTGTCTCCTTCATGTGTTCCCCCTGGCTGAGACAGTTCATGGGCTTTCAGGTTTGACATTTTTCTCTGCAGTCTCTAAGCAGAAGCTTTTATGTGGACATTCTAGGTTAGCACAGATGGGCAATGACCCTGCAATGTGTGCATAATCCCAAAGGCCAACCACTGTGGATGGGAACTATCCCAGATGTGTCAGGAGTACCAGAGGCGTGCTCACTTCTCTATTCATTGGAGCTGTATACAGTGGAAAGGAAACCCAAACCAAGACACTTTGCTGCTTCAGTTCTTTTATTACATGTCACAGTCCAGTATGTCTCCATTTAAATTCAGACTTTTTGATGAATCATCAGACCAGCTGCAGGCCCTTTGGGTCAGAAGTCTTGATCTCACTAACTGTTCATTTTCTTAATGGACTTCCTTACTTCAGGCATTTGTGTGTAGCTGGTCTATTGTGGAGTTGTCAGAGAAGTGTGGAGCCCTCTCTTTTTGGGACAGTCGGTTCTTTCAGTGTAGCATGTCCTGAAGTGGGGCTGTCTCCATTCTCTTTGTGTGTGAAGTCTTGTGTTAAGCAGGGCGAAGGGAGAGAGGACTCCTAAAGAGAAAACCTCCTTTAGCATTGGCTGAAACATGTTTGTGAACTGACCAAGATGTAACTGGATGGCATGAAAAAGGCTACAGTTTATTTAATTATCTTGCTATCTGGTTTGTGGTACATGGTGCCTTAAATTGAGTTTAGAAGAAACTTGGCAGACGGAATTTTGTCCTGTTGCCCAGGCTGGAGTGTAGTGGTGTGATCTCATCTCACTGCAACCTTTGCCTCCTGGATTCAAGTGATTCTCCTGCCTCAGCCTCTTAAGTAGCTGGGATCACAGGCACCTGCCACCATGCCTGGCTAATTTTTATATTTTTAGTAGAGACGAGGTTTTACCATATTGGCCAGGCTGCTCTCAAACTCCTGACCTCATACGATCTGCCCACCTCGGCCTCACAAATCGTTGGGATGACAGATGTGAGCCACTGTGCCCGGCCGAGGGTGTCATATTTAATTCTACTCCCTGTGGCCTCTTCTACAATACCAATCATGCATGGAGCCCATGCTTTTGCTGCACCTAGTCTTACTCAAACAAAGGCTCTGGACTTTCATAGTTTATACTGACATATTCTAGTTTTCCCCTGAAATGTACTCTGAGGATGCTGATTTCCAGATAGCCATTCTTGGCTTCCAGATAGTTATTTTTGGGTGAAGGGAATTTCAAGTATTTTGAGTATAGTAGCCACACCACTTAGCTTCATTTAGGTTTGGTTACAAAATGTATTTTAGCTTAGTTTTCTTAGATTAAGTGGGCAAAGACAGGGCGGAAGCTTTTGGGAGGCTGAGGTGGGTAGATCACGAGGTCAGGAGTTTGAGACTGATGTGGCCAACATGGTGAAATCCTGTCTTTACTAAAAATACAAAAGTTAGCTGAGCATGGTGGTGCGTACTTATAATCCCCACCACTTGTGAGGCTGAGGCAGGTGTATTGCTTGAACCGAGGAGTCTCTTGAGAAGTTGGGACTACAGCACATGCCACCATATTCAGCTAATTTTTAAAAATTTTTAGTGGAGACAAGGTTTCTCTATGTCACCCAGGCTGGTTTCAAACTCCTGGACCTAAGTGATCCACCTGCCTTGGCCTTTCAAACTGCTGCAGTTACAGGTGAGAACCACCATGCCTGTTTTTTATCTCATTTTTCTCTCTTCCTTTTGTTCTTTGGTAGATGGAAATGTGTCAGGTACCAGCTATTCGTCCAATGACTGCTCCTCAGTTCCAAATTCACCCTTCACTGCCTGCTCTGCAAACATAGAGGTGGGTTCCTTAAATGCTTCCTCTGTCAACTGGTGCATTATTAAATGTTGTCAGTACATGGTGCTGTTGTAAGGGGCGTTCTAAGAGGCTTTTGTTTCTAGTCGTGTGCACATCTTCACAGGCGCTGAGCTTTTGCTGCACCAGGCTGCTGCCCTGCATGGTGCTTAGCAGCAGGCAGTGACCAGCACTTTCTCTGCATTTGCCTGGGTGGTTTTGTGGTGAGACAACTGTTTACTAATAGGTAAAGCTAGCACCCTAGAAGGTGGATTTTCAGCAAATTGCAGAGGGCATATTGCTAGCATGTTCCACCATGTGGTAATGCAGCACTTCTGCCATTGAATTACCCACGACTGTGCCCTCTCCAAGGGGGCCTGGATCTCAGCCTGAGTGGGGAATCCCTTCCTTGGTCACTCGATCTCAGTGTAGGGACAGTAGGAAGTTACTGCTCATTGTAACAGCTGGTCCTATACTTTGTTTTTTTGAGGCAGGGTCTCTCTAGCCCAGTCTAAAGTGCAGTTGTGAAATCATGGCTCACCGCAGCCTTAACCTCCTGGGCTGAAGCAATTTTTTCACCTCAGCCTCCCAAGTAACCAGGACTACAAGTGTGTGCCACCACACCTGGCCTTTGTTTTCTTTTTCTGGTAGAGCCAGGGTCTCACTGTGTTTCCAAGGTGGTCTCAAACTGCTGGCCTCAAGCAGTCCTCCTGCCTTGGCTTCCCAAATTGCTGCAATTGTAAGCATGAGCCACCATGTCTGGCCTCTGCTAGCCCTATGTTCTCTAGAGTTCTCTTTACTTTTGTAGCCAATCTCTCATATGGTGTTTTCTGGTTACATAGTTGCTTTTTTTATTTAAAATTTTTCCACTTTAAACTTTGGGTGATTTATGCCTTTTGATTGGACTCTGACATATACAGAACTGATTCTAGGAAGGGTTCTGGGAGAAAGACCCACAAAAAATGGGATTTGGGCATAGGTTTGGTTATCCAAGGGGCAGCGTTGAACTTCTTGTCAATGGGAAATGGGATGCTGGTGATTTTCAGGAAGTGACCTCATAATGTTTCAAGGTGCCACTTACTGTTGATTGTGATGAAATGCCAGCTGAGACACATGCCTTAGGAGCTAAGTGGCTTCTGTACTTGACCACGATGAAGACTGGTGTGGGGAGGGTCCTTTTGGATGCAATGGAGCAGGGCACCTAATCCCTGAATCACAGGCCTGTACTTGGACACACAGCAGGAGGTGAGCAGCAGGTGGGCGAGCAAAGCTTCATCTGTATTTACGGCCACTCCCCTCTTTGCCGCCTGATCTCCACCTCCTGTCAGGTCAGTGGCAGCATTAGATTCTCATAGGAGCAGGAACCCTATTGTGTAACTGTGCATGCAAGGGTTCTACCTTGCTCTGTCTTTATGAGAATCTAATGCCTGATAACCTGTCACTATTTTTCATCACCCCCAGATGGGACCATCTAGTTTCAGGAAAACAGACAAGCTCAGGACTCCCACTGATTGTACATGATGGCGAGTTATATGATTATTATATACTACAGTGTAATAATTACAAAGTGCACAATACATGTGATGTGCTTGAAGTATTCCAAAACGGACCCCCTGCCCCCAGTCTGTGGAAAAACTGTCTTCCATGATATTGGTTTCTGGTGCCATAAAACCTGGGGACTGCTGCGCTTGAGCACTCACAGAGAGAAGAACGCAAAGCTCACGTCTTAGCATAAGTCACGGTCTAAGATCCAGAGAGCTTCCATGATAGCCCAAACACAATTCCATATTTCTTGTTTCCACAGGGTTGATATTATGAAAAATCAAACACAAACTTAAATGTGTGAATTGCTGAATTACAATGACAGTTGAATTCACTGCATCACCAAGGTTCTCATGAGAACATTGGGGCACTAATAGGTGAAGAATGGGATTCTTTTTCTCTTTGAGACAGTCTCCCTCTGTTGCCCAGGCTGGAGCACAGCGGTGTGATCTCGGCTAACTGCAGTCTCAACCTCCCGGGCTTAAGCTGTCCTCCTGCCTCATCCTCTGGGGTAGCTGAGGTATGACCACAGGTATGAGCCACCACACCCAACTAATATTTTGTGTTTTGTAGAGATGTGGTTTCACCACATTGCTCAGGCTGGTCTTAAACTCCTGGGCTCAAGACATCCACCCACCTTAGACTTCTAAAGTTTTGAGATTATAGGCAGCAGCCGCCATGCCTGGCGCGGTTTTCTTCGGTACTGGCTTATCGGGAAGGCCTCCAGTTGTCTTCCTGACTTCCAGGCTTGCTCACTTCAGCCTGTTCACTGAAGCCAGAGGAATTTTTCTAAAAGGCAAATTTGGGTCAAAATGGTACTTGATTAAAACCTGCTGGTGACTTCCCATTGCCTTTAAGATAAAATCCAAACTAATTTGGCCACAGGGCCTGGTAAGAGCTGGCCTCGGCTTACCTTTCCAGTTTTATCCTGCACCACCCTCCCCATATCCCTCCCTTCCAGCCACGTGGAATGTCAGTTTCCTTGGGGGACTTTACTGGTGTCCTTCTTCAGGAAGCCTTCCCCTACCCTCATCATCACTCTTTGACTCTCATCTTCGCTCATCTTTAGCCTCAGCCAAGATGTCTCACCCCATTCTCTATGATGCAACAAAAAGCCCCTTGGGAGCATTTCAGTCCCACTCGGTACTTCTGTCATTGTGCCCCTCACAGTCTGGTAAGTGTTGGCATACGATTGCTATATTCGTCTGTTTTGCATTGTTATAAGCATACATGTGAGGCTCAGTAGTTTATAAATAAAAACGGTTGGCCAGGCACAGCAGCTCATGCCTTTAATCCCAGCACTCCTTTAATCCCAGCACTTTGGGAAGCCGAGGCGTGCGGATCACAAGGTCAAGGGATTGGGATTATCCTGGTCAACATGGTGAAACCCCATTTCTACTAAAACACAAAAATTAGCTGGGCTTGCTGGTGCATGACTCTAATCCCAGCTACTCAGGAGGCTGAGGCAGGAGAATTACTTGAACCCAGGAGGCGGAGGTTGCAGTAAGCCTACATCGTGCCACTGCACTCCAGCCTGGATGATAGAGTGAGACTCCATCTCAAAATCATCGTCATCATCATAACAAACTTAGCTACGTATGGTGGTACATGCTTGTAGTCCCAACTACTTGGGAGGCAAGATCACTTGAGCCCGGGAGATGGAATCTGCAGTGAGTCATAATCACCTCACTTTCCTTCAAGCCTGTGTGACAGAGGTGAACTCTGTATCCAGAAAAGAAAATAGTTATTGGGGAAAAAAGAGTAAACACGCAAAGGGGTCAGGAGAGTCCTGTGAATGTGGGTCATGTCAGCAGAGTGTAGGGACTACTGGGCAGGAGGGACTTGAAGAACGGGGTGGTGGAGACAAGGTCATTCATCCTAAACAGTTTGTCCTGTAGCATGTAGATCAAATATCTCATGTTGGCTGCTGGTGACTGACTTACGGCTGTGAGTCTCTGTGCTGGGACTTTTTTTTTTTTTTTTCCGAGATGGAGTTTTGCTCTTTTGCTCCCAGGCTGGAGAGCAATGGTGCACTCTCAGCTCACCACAACCTCCACCTCCCAGGTTCAAGTGATTCACCTGCCTCGGCTTCCTGAGTAGGTAGGATTACAGGCACCACCGCACCTGACTAATTTTGTATTTTTTAGTAGAGATGGGGTTTCTCGATGTTGGTCAGGCTAGTCTTGAACCCCCGACCTCAGGTGATCCACCTGCCTTGGCCTCCCAAACTGCTGGGATTGTAAGTGTGAGCCACCACACCCAGCCTCTATCTGTTTTTACAATTACACTGTTAAATACATGATGTTCCATGACAGTGGTAAATTTTAAATGACAATTGTTAATTCAGTGGAATTACCATAAAGATAATAAAAGTAGCAGCTAATATTTACTGAGCTGTTACTAGGTGCCTATAAATACCATGGATTTCTAAGTTCCCCATAACTCTTCCTTATTTTGCTTAACCGCTCTATCTTAAGTTACTCATGCTTGCTTCAGTAGCACATATACTAAAGTTGGAACAATAGAGAGATTGGCATGGCCTCTGTGCAAGAATGACGTGCAAATTTGTGAAGTGTTCCATATGTTTTTAAAACAGAAAAATATTACTCCTAGATTTTCACCGTGTTTGTGCATATGACCTTCTGCTTAGGTTGAATTGTATCCGAAGATGATATTTCCAGAAAGGAGATTACTGTGAGTCACAGGACATTGGCATTCTTGTTACACTTGATGTAAACTGCCGAGCTTTCAGGCATGGTGGCTGTCGGCCTATAATTCCAACACTTTGGGAGGCTGAGGTGGGACGATTGCTTGAGGCCAGGAGTTGGAGGAGGCAGTAGAGTGAGTCACTGTATTCTTTTTTAAAAATTTCCAAGCTTTACCCTGGTGGAAGGCTTGTATACAATTTAACATCACTAATAGTAAAAGAAAATGCCCATTTCACTGCACCTTTGCTGGCACAGGGTACAATCACAAGTTATTTTTTGTTTGATTATTTTTAATAAATGAAAGACCTCATAAATTTTGTTACATTTTAATATATATTTTCTTATCTTAGTTTATTAGCTTTCTCTTTGTCGCTTTCTTTCTTTCTTTTTCAGATGAAGTTTCACTCTTGTTTCCTAGGCTGGAGTGCAACGGCACAATCTCTGCTGACTGCAACCTCCTTCTCTTGGATTCAAGCCATCCTCTTGCCTCAGTCTGCAGAATAGCTGGAATTACAGGCATGTGCCACCATACCTGGCTAAGTATTTTCAATAGAGACAGGGTTTCTCCATGTTGGTCAGGCTGGTCTCGAACTCCGTATTTCAAGTGATCCAACTGACTCAGCCTCCCAAAATGCTGGGATTACAGGTGTGAGCTACCGTGCCCAGCTAGCTTTCTATTTTGCTCCTTCTTTATTTGGGGGGAGACCAAGTCTCACTCTGTAGCCCAGACTTGAGTATGGTGGTACAGTCTCGACTCACTGCAGCCTTGACCTCCTGGGCTCAGGTGATCCTTCCACCTCAGTAACTGGGACTATAGGCACATGCGACCTTGTCTGGCTAATTTTTTATTTTTAATAGAGACGAGGTCTTGCCATGTTTCCCAGTCTGGTCTGGAATTCCTGGCCTCAAGCAATTCTCCCACTGCCCCCTCCCAAAGTGCTGCTATTATAAGCGTCAGCCACCAAGGCTGGGCTGTCCATGTCTTTTCTGTTTATTTATAGAGTTACCATGTCTTTTACTAATTAATGATCTATATATTTAATCTTTTATTAAATTATAAAAATAGTAAAGACTTTTAAATGAAGAAGTGAAAAATTTCCTTTACGCATTAGACCCATAATCTTATCTCAGGAAATAATTGGCCATATTCTTCAAATACATATGGGCTAATTGAATATCACTTCTCATTTTCATATTTCGTGGACATCTTTGTCAATTTCTATCGATCTATCTGAATCCTTTTCATGGTTGCCTAATGTTTTATTATATGGATATATCACAATTGACCAGTCAGCCTCTATAGCCATTTAGGCTCCTTCTAATATTTGCTTTGAGCTCTTTATATCATTAAAAATTAACCTCCTCAGCAGGTTGCGGTGGGTGTGGCAGCTCACACCTGTAATCCCAGCACTTTGGAAGGCTGAGGTGTGAGAACTGCTTGAGGGAAAAGGATCACCACCAGCCTCGTCGACATAGCAACACATTGTCTCTAAAAAAAAATTAAAGATAGCATGAGCTGGACATTGCGGTCCACACCTGTAGTCCCAGCTACTGAGACTGGAGGATCACTTGAGCCTAGGAGGTCGAGGCTGCAGTAAGCTGTAGTCCAGCTTTGGTAACAGTAAGAATGCATTTCTTAAATAAAATAAAAATTAGGTTGGAATATTGCTGAAGTCGTGTAGGTTGAGTCTGCAATGAGCTGTGATATGATTGTACCACTGCGGTCCAGCCTAGGGGATAGAGCAAGATTCTTTCTCAAAAAAGTAAAATACAATAAAAATTAACCCTTTAGCATGTCTCCCAGTAACACCTTCCCTCTACTGTTTTTCCTAGAAGCTCTTGGCTTTTGTTTGCTTTTCATGTATCTTATAAAATTTTTATGGGATTGGATGGATGTCCGCCTCATTCCTTCTTTTATTTTTAAAGAATGTCTTTTTGTCACTTCCAGCTGCATCTACCATGAAAGACATCAGAGTTCAGGAGGAGACTGGGCATCATGTTACTCAGGTACAGAAAGACTTGGACAATAACTCAAAAATGATCAAATAATAGTGCATGCATCACGGGCAATGGGAAGCTCTTCTGGAGAGTGTGAGAAGCTTCCAGATAAGGTGACAGTGAAACTGGCCTTTGAAAGCTGAGGAAGAGTTGTGTGAGAGTAGGGAGCGAAGGGGGATGTGGAGGGATGGGGAATGGGCAGGGAAACCAGCACTGTAAAGACCTGGACAATTAAGATGGCACATTCAGTTCAGGGAGTGGGGAATGAGGTGTGGCAGGAAGGCTCTGGAGAGACAGTAATTTGCTTGTATGGAATTTTGCCTGAGAGACCTCACTACGGTTTCTGATCTGGTGATGTTATCATCCATCACTGTCCCTGTCAGATAGTTTGGAATAGGTGTGATGATCACAGTAACATCAAGCGTAATATTTCCTGAATTCTCAAAAAGTCACAGGCAGGTACCAGTTATCCCCATTTTATGAATGAGGTGATAAAGACAGGGATGATGAGTGATTTCCCCAAGCTCACATGGATATTAAGCTGAGTCAGCTGTAGGGACTGCATTGACTTTAATGCTTGCTCTTTTCATGAGCACCATGTATTGCTTCTCCTATGCAGTTAGGCCGGTAGGTGAAAGAAAAGCCCATGTTTCTCTCTAGTCACACACTTTGACTGACTGACTGTGTGTGTGGAGCTCATACACCAAATTCTCCAGTGTTCCGGATAGTAACTGGGCATCCCACAATGTTATTCTGACACTACCTGGAGCTGGCACAGACCCTGCAGGTTAGGCGTTTAGTCCCATGAGACTACCCCCACTTCAGATGCCAATGGCAAGTATTAGGTTTTCACCTGTACCTTTGACCAAGCTATTACAAATCAGGGGTTCTCAAGACCCCCTTCTTTGATTTAATCGTTTGCTTGAACAGTTTACAGAACTCAGAAAAGCAGTTTATTTTCTTTTTTTCTGAGAGACAGGGTCTCATTT